GTGGTTAAGAGCACTTCCAGAAGACCTGGTTCCATGTCTAGCACCCACATGGTGGCTCACAACTGTCTGACTCCAGTTCCTGAAGACCCACCGCCCTCTTCTGGCTTCCTAGGATACTGCACACACATGGTGCAGACACACAAGCAGGCCACTCATACACATAAATAAATAAAAAATAGACACAAGCACTGGTATTGAGGATATTTCTAAACCAAAGTTCTACATAGATTTTTATAAGGATAAGTTGAAAATCTTAAGTGGATTTAAAAAATTAAAGTATTTGTGAAATAACCAAATATTTATCCTCCTTTGCCCCAAAAATGAAATTTGTATTCATGCATTGATTCAAGGATTGTGCATTACTCAAGGATGGGGTGGTAGCCTACCAAGTCAGGATTAGGATGCTATTATTGGCTCCGCCACAGGAATCGATATGCGAATTACATCCCCCAACCAAACCCTCGGACAACTTTAATACATTGCTTGCAAATTCTAAGGCTCACCTGAAAAGTAAATGTTTGAAATTAAAATTCCTTTTGAACTAGGAAGGGGGATCCACTTGGGTAACAAGCCCCACAAGAATTGTGTAGTCAGACACTGGTGTTTAGCTATCCTGGTGAGAGTTGGCCTGGAGCAACCAGAGAGTCAAGAACCAAGAGTCTTGGCTTTATCTTCGTATCAACTTTTAAGCTTTGGTTATTTGAGATGTTTTAAGTTTTTTGAGACAGGTCTCTCTCACTTAGGCTCCTGGTAGTCCACTCTGCCATGGTAACAAATCACCACATGCCTTTCTTTCAGATCAGAATCAAAGGCACAGGCCAAGTTCTGCTTTCTTCAGGAGAGGCTGCAGTCTTGTCTTCTTCACTGGCAGTGGTTGCCTGCAGTCTTTGGCTTGGGGCCCCATCCTTTCAGGTGCAAAGCCAGAGGGCTCTGCTGAGTATCTCACCCTGCAACACTCTCAAACCGCCTCCCTTTCCCACATTTAACAGTCCTCGTGATTACTCTAGGATCTCCTGGGTAATCTGGAGTAATCGCCCTGGGCATCTGTAACCTTAGTTCCCCTTGCCACTGGTTGTTAACCATCCTCACGGGTTGTTTTATTTTTATTTTTATTTTTTTTGGTTTTTCGAGACAGGGTTTCTCTGTATTGTTTTGGAGGCTATCGGTCCAGCCCAGCCTCGAACTCACAGAGATCCGCCTGCCTCTGCCTCCCGAGTGCTGGGATTAAAGGTGTGCACCACCAACGCCCAGCGTGGGTTGTTTTATTATGTAGCTCAGGACAGCCTGAACTTAGTATCCTCCTGTCAGGCTTGGGATTCATTCACCATGCCTGAAAGAGTATGCACTACTTTTTACAGAATTAGATATATACAATGGACATAATTTTAATGAAGAGATTTAACACTTATAACAAAGGATGGAATGGTACATGGCCAGACAATTTACAAATGGAACATTCCAGAAGAACTGGCTATCAAGAGAGAATACAAATAGAGCTTTAGCATTAGATAAAGGGTGAATTTCAAGCTATGGAGGAAAAGGACAGCTCACAAGAGGAGGCTGCAGACATTACTGCAAATCAAAGACTTGATTTTCATCTATTCCACAGATACAGAACATAGAATATGGGTCTAGGATAAAAACCCAAAAGAAATTAATAATGAGGAAAACTATATAGGAAAATGTGTTTTTGCACATTTCCTTATGCCCTTGTCCACAAAGCAAGTCTTAGTAATGTTAACATAAAATTAAAATACAGGCACAGGGCCAAGGGAAGACATGAATACCTGTATCAGAGCTATCCAGGCCACAGTCTGTAATCCCAGCTAGTGGGAGGCTGAGGTAGGAGGGACTCCAGTTCAAGGCCTTCCTGACCTGTTGAGTGAGTTTTAGCCTGAGTGACTGTGTGAGATCCTGTCTCAAAAGAAAACCAAAGTGTTGGGAGATGTAGCTCAGTGGTAGAACACTTGCCCACAGGAGGTTCAAACCCCAGCTTTTAAAAACAAGAGATAGCTTTAATCAGTCAAGATCTTTGTGTGGCCCAATGGGGTCATACTACAATAAAATGAGAGGAGACACAACAGTTTAGTTCTCAGAAGAAATGTGATGGCAACAAGTATGGTAAACCACAACCGAACCCACGTGCAGGGAAGGCACTGCTGTGTGTGTGTGTGTGTGTGTAGAGAGAGAGAGAGAGAGAGAGAGAGAGAGAGAGAGAGAGAGAGAGAGAGAGAGAGAGAGAGAGAGAGAGAGAGAGAGGACACTCTGGTGATCTTGAGGAGTTTAACCCATTTGAGCCTCAGTTTCCCTACATAAAATAGGGCTAACAATACACCTTAACTCTTTTATTTATTTTTCTTTTTTTGAAACAGTGCTTCTTTGTGTATCCCTGGCTGTCCTAGAACTAGCTCTATAGAGCATATTAGCCTCAAATTTACAAGGATCTGCCTACCTTTGCCTTCTGGTGCTGGGATTAGAGGTATATGCTACCAACATCTGGCTATAACTTAACTCTTAATTAGGGTAGAGATGGAACGAGTTACTAAGGCATTTTGAACAATGCCCAGTTACAGTAATGATGTAATCCATGATGGTTCATAGTTCTGTGATACATGCACAGAGCTCAGTACCCATCCATGTTCACTCACATGCTTAGGAAGATGTTCAGTATGGTATCATTTGCTATGGCAAAACTGAACTATTTTGAATGGCATTGACAATCAACAGATATATTTTCATGCCTGCTCAATACGGACTAATGGTTAAAAAGCACTCCCATCAGGCCAGTGAGACGGCTAATGGGGCAAGGAGACTTGTTATCAAGCCTGACTACCTGAGTTCCAGCACTGAAATCTCCACAGTAGAAAGAGAACTGCAAGTTGCCCTCTGACCAACACCACACATACACTTTAGATGTGGCCACCCCCACCCCCACCTCCACCCCTCCTACCCCACCCCCCAATCCCCGAGAAAAAAAATGTAACAAATTTGTAAAAATATGAGTGATCTGAGGCACCATTATGACCTATAAGCATAGGCCAACATGTGCATGTATATAATATATACCCAGAGCAAGCTGGCTAGGTGGATGAGCTGACCATCAAGCTTCAGATTCAACTGAGAGACCTGCCTCAATAAAATGGTGGGAAGTGATATAAGAAGACATTTGATGTCAGCTGTCAATCTCTGGCCTTCACCTGCACAGACAGACACACACACACACACACACACACCACATGTACACACATGCACATGCAAACATGCAAAAAACACGACCAAAGAAACCTATTATATTGGAGACCACCAGGCAGGCAGGCAGGGTTGGGAAAGGGTCTGAGGAAGACTTTATTAAATATTGTTTGAAGTAAACATGCATTGTTTTTAAAAATGCTTAAAAATTGATAAAAAATAATGATCACTTAGAATAATCCAAAATAGACACAGGAACAATGGACAATCAAAAGGGAGTTGTGACATTACTTGTGACTTATTTTTCCAAGAATGTCAGCTTAACTGTGGGCTCTCAGATTCTTTAAATGTGGCCTAAGAATGTCAAAGTCAGGCATCTTCCAATGAGAAACAATCTATAATAAGTGTCTTAATTCCTTGTTTGCACTGTATATCATATTTTGGAAGTTTGCCTGCTTGGGAAGGTAATATTTGCAAATTTAAAACACGGCCCTTCAATATTACTTAGCTGACATAAACAAATTAAAATAAGGCCAGCCTAAGCCAGTTGTGTTTATCAACGTGATCCCCTCTGAAAATGAGAGGTGAAGTCAAATACCCTTTAATACTATTTATTAGTGGAGTAATATAATACATTTTGACAAGTTGAGCTGCTTTAACGGGCAGCTGTTAAAGTCTCTACAGGGCCTGTTTGGAATGAAAGAGCAGTGAGAGACAGAACCGTAACTGGTTCTCCGAACAGCTCAGCCATCAACTATATCCTAACCAAGTACTTTTTATCCAGCTAATTTACAGAGTGAATCCCTCAGGGTCTCCAGCGTCTACACTGCAGCTCATTAGAACCCAACAGCCAACTTTTCTCATTGTAGCACAGAAAGCATGTGTGCTTAAAATACAATTAAATGGAAAACAAACAAGCTCCTTATTTTCTGACAGTCTCAGTATTTTTAAATTGACAAAGGCACGAACTTATATGCGATTGTTTGGAAAGCAGGATAAATTTCAGCCACTTACGGCAAGACATTTGCCCAACCGTTCATCCTGCATGCAATTAGGGCGCTAAAGACTTGGGCTAGGAGTTCCTCGTGGGAATTAAACTTGCAGGTCTCTTACCAACGCATAATGTGGTAAGACTTGCTGTCCAATGAGGTGTCTTATTGAAATGTCCCAGGCCGTTTCGCTTGTCACAGCTGTCCTTTCAGCCGCTTGCACTCATAGTGTATAGCTTTCATTACGAAAATAGAAATTTGTGTCCTAAGTGCTGTTACATTACTAATGCTAAATATTTAATTCCCTGGGGTTCCAATTACGGTTGAGCGCTGGCAACACTGATTCTGCTCTCTAATAACAACTGTAAAGGCAATTGGAGCATTTTTCAATTAATTAAATACATAGTGAACGAGTAACCTCTTGTCATTTTGCCCTCCAGGACCTGAGCTAATTGCTGTAGAATAAAATGTTTTGAAAATTAACTGATATTCTGGGCTGCACACAGTTATACCATTAAATCACAGTTTGCACAGTGAAGTTTGTCTTCTGATAGTTACACTCCATGGTCTGCAGCTGCGAGAAAGTACCTGGAATTATGGGGCTTAGCAGGGCCTCCAATTAGGGCCAAGTTGAAAGTGAGCACGGCCTTTCAGAACCCATCAGTATCAATGATAGTTTGCCTTGCTCACATCACAGATAAGCGAGATGGATTTCCACAAGGAAAGTTCCCCAGGCTTCACGAAGAGCATTACTATCCAGCTCCAACACTCTAAAGTGTGTTCAGAAGAATCCCTATCATAATTATATCCACACACAAAAGCTAAAGTTTTCCATTTCTTTTTTATTTTCCCACATGACAAGGTTGCTAATTGAATGTCTGGGAAAGGCCGCCTTTTGAAATACTTTCTTGCAGTTTCTTGTTTCACCCTAGAACAACATCATAAATAAGCCCCAAAGTGATGTCTCAGCTGAGAAGGATGAATCATAAAAGCAGACGCCACATTTAAAATAAACCTTTTTCTGAAGTACAATGAAATTCGATTAAAGAGCTGGTCTCCTTGCAGCAAACATCGCTGACAGGTGTTCCTTAGCTCCGGCTCCTGATTGGTCATCATCTGAAATCCATGCTGGGAAGCGGATGTCCCTCGCAGCTGTCTGTCTAGCAGGGATGATCCCCTAAACAGGTTTCACTGAATTAGTCTCTACAGAAGCACTTCGGCTCGGGAAGGAAGGCACTGCAAGTGAAATTAATCACTCTGGGAGAGAGGGAAGAAATAATAGAGAAAATTTAATCATTTCCATACCAATCTTTAGGGTTTAAATCTTTAATATTTCTAAGATTATAGTAACATCTTTGAGAAATGAATCTTAATTACAGGATTAGCATGGAAGTACCAGTCAGTTAATATAAATAGACCAACCTAAATTGCTGATCTCTTTTAGACTAAAGTGGATAATGAGGACTTTTTAGAATTCTGAGGTTGAGCTGACTTCTCAAGAACTAATGCCAAGATCATTGGAAAATACACATGGCCACACAGAAAAGAAAAATATAAATTCTTTGAAGGTTTATTGAAATATTAATCCATATGGAGTGTAACATCTTAATTGACCACTGGCTTGATATATTCTGTCACTAAAAATCCCTTTTTGGTTACTGGGGATCATTAAACACTCTTAACACGATAAACCACTGAGCCTGTAAGTGAGGACCCTTTGAGATGGTGCAGTGGGTAAAGGTACTTGCTGCTATGCCTGATGATCTGCGCTCAGTCCTGGGACCCAAATGGGGGAAGGTTAGAACTGTCTCCTACAAGTTGCTCCACATTCCGGTCATGGCATGCATACACATGAACACAAATAAATAATATCAAATCCAGATACACAAATAATTATTTGCCAAAGGTATTGATTTTTTCAAGACCCTCAAAACTATATTTTTAAACTGAAAAGTAAAGAGAATTTGCACCCTCAATACAGTTCAGATACTGCTTGTATGAAGAAATGTATCAAGAGCTGGGATGTAGCTCAGTGAGTTCCTGACTAGTATATATGAGGCCCTAGGCCCAATGCCCAGCACTGAGGAAAAGAAAAGAAACTGACTGAACTATATTCGCAAATGCTCATGTTTCTAGTTTTGAAAAACAATAATTTTATTAAGTGACTAATAATATATGGCTCAGGCTGAGTGTGGTGGCATACACCTATGATCCCAGCATTTGATAGATGGAGGCAGGAGGTTCTCAAATTTAAGGCCAGCCTGGACTGCACAGGGAGATGCTCTCTCAAAATAACAAATAAGCAAATATATGGCCCAAACAAACTAAACAAATACCTAGTTTTTTAAAAACACCCTGACTATAGTACTCATTAAGCCCATTGTATAGTACCAATGTTCCAAGTTATGGGCCTGGCTCGTCAGTTGGAGTCAGTCATTAGATCCCACATGAACAGTTTTCATCACTGTCCAGCTGCATCTCCCCTTGGGATCATGTGCCCTTGGGATCAAGTTCCCTCTGCCTCCTCCCTCACTGTGACCTAGTATACCACATGTGCAGAGCATTTGGCAGCCCAATTTACACAGTCACAACTAGATCTTACCCGTTACTCAGCCACACTAGTATTTTGGAGTAGTAAGCAAAGCCCATGGGCCTTGAAAGCAGTCCACCTGAAGCTGATAACCATAGTTTGACCTGCGGCCAATCTCTTGATTCTTAGGCTCCCTCTGGTCTCCTGAGGAGAGAAGTCACTGAAGATGTTAGAGCATATGAAAAGGAGCAGGCCTATAAATTCCTGAGGCTTCCAGCCTAAGGGTCACCTGCTGGCACACCCACCTAAGCTTTTCATGGTGACCATGTCAATAACAGGATGGGGTGTATAATGCATCCATAAAGCATGCACAGCAGAGAGGAAAATCAGAGCCACTATGGGTCTTGCAAGACCTTTTTAAGAATTAAAGCTTTGCATTTAGTCCCAACAGAGTACAGGCTGAGAGAAGGTCTGTTTGGGATTTGTAAGTGAAGGCCGAGAGCTAATGATGTGCTCACTGGTAAAGCGCTTGCCTAGCATCCATAAGGTTCCCCATTCCATTGCCAGCTCCACAAAGAAAGATAACAGGGAACTGGCAAGACACACAAAGGCATTGCTTAGTACGCCGAACTTTTTGTACAGCCGGTGTCAAAGCTGACTTTCTTATTCTAGAGTGTGTTCAACTAGCCCCATATCTGAGGCTTAAATCCCAGAGATCCCCGCCCCTGGTTATAATGAGTCTTACAGGAGGCTATGGGGCCTCAACAGCGGGAAAGGAGGAGCCAGGGCAAGTTCCCATCCTGCTACTTGAGTGGTAAAAATAAAACAAAACTCACAGAACTGAATGGCAGTTTTAACTCAGTGCTTGCAAATGACCATTCCACATCAGAGTCCAGTTCTATTACCTGGTCTCCAAGCACACAAGGCCCAGGGCATAAGAGATCTCCAGGCAGGCCAGGAGAAAAACCCCTGGCAGCAATGGAGGGCACAGAAACAGTTTAAGAAATGTCCCTCTAAGGGATCGAGTTTCACAGCCCAGCTATACCCATGATCCTGAGTTAGCATCGACGTTTGTGAGACCCCACCCATTATTTCAGAGATAGACAGGCTCTCTTAGCAAGATCTCCAGCACCAACAGCCATTGCTAATTCTTAAGATGAGGCTATCCTGAAAAAAGCCTCTCCCTGAGGGCTGCAGATCATTGTGGTTTGGGTGTATTTAGATAGTTTTATGGTTAACACACTGCAGTATAAATAAATATAGGTTAGTGTGAGCATCTCTGCTGAAAATATGTATGCCATAAAATGACAAATAAAATAGGTCAATAACTAAGCCCATAGTAAATAGCTCAGGCATAACATTAGCATGAACTAAGATAAACCAGCCTTCTTCAAAACTGATGATAAATTATTCACAATGGAATTTGAAAATGAAAAGCTAACTGTGAACTTACACACACTCCACTTCAGGTGAGAAGAGGTCTTAGGAAAGCAAGCACAGTTTATGCATTTGTGTGCGCAACTAACCTTCTGCCTGTTCTGCTTCTGAGTTCTATCACAAAGACACAGTAGGTGCTAATAACCTGTCCCCAGCACAGCTGCCATTTGCAAGTTGCTTAAAGGCCAGGTAAGCACAAGGACAGACATCAGGGTATTGTCAACTTTCTTTGGGGGATGTTTAGGGTGAAAACAAGGGTCTGAAGTAGATACTATACACTGACTTTGATGGGAGCTGGGGCAAAGACTACAGGGTGACAGTGTCTTGTTTTGATTGCGTTTAATAGCAGAAGACAGCGGTTGATCTGAAGATACTGGAGTAGGTGGTGGGAACATAGGATACCTCTGTTCTCAACAACAGGTACATTCTGAAAACCCCTAACTCTCCTTCCCTGAGTGTAACCTTACCTTGTACTTTTAAGACAACTGCAAGATGAGCTGTTCGGGCTCAAATATTTGTTCCCATGCTCTGTCTTCGAGGTAGAAACACTGCTGGAGTCCACTGCTTTGTTTTGAAGTTTTAATGGGCTATTAGATTCCTCTCACTGCAATGAGATCCCAGAGAAAGAACATATAAGGAGAAAGTGCTGATTTTGGCTCATGGTTTTGGAGGTTAAGTCCTGATAAGTGCCCACACAGTCACAGCAGGAGGGCACAATGGAGCCAAACTGCTTACACTGCAAGCCAGGAACAAAGAAGAGGCCAGAGCACCAGAGTCCTTTAAGGTCATAACACTGATGACCTCCTGGCTGCATTCTCACAGGTCTGTGGCCTCCCAACGGTACCATCTTGAGGGCCAATGTTTTACAGGTCTTTGGACAACATTTCAAATCCAAACTGCAGAAACCGTGGAGATATTTTCATACATACAGAATCATAAACTGGGGTGATGAGTAATGTCAAATTACAAGTTTATAAATGTTTTGCTTTGTTCCTGCTTTTTTCTTTTGTTATAAGTTTATTTTTTAAAGCTGCTTTGTAATTTTCACCTGGTATATAAAGAACTTGGAATCACCTCTGAGAAGTAAATTCTGACCAATTTGAAAATAAATGACTTCTATTCAATCTGAGGTCCTAGAGAAAAATGCTAGCCCCCAATTTAGAGATAGTCAGGTAGATATAGACAATGACTGTTCATAGCAGAGACCTCTGGGAAACAGGCCCACAATGGGAAAACCCAGGCTAGGACTGGCCAGCTGCTTGAGTCTTGCATTCAAATTTGGCCAGGAAGAGCCAGGAGAGTGCAGGCAGCTGGAGCCCATGCTGCTGAGATGTCTCTCCTTGAGCTTCGCCAAGCTCCAGAGAGCCTATACTGAAGATAAATCTTCCTTGGGCTTCTGGCAGGGGGAAAAAAAGTAAGCACTGTGAAATACACCAGAACATTCTATTCCATTCTGTTCCTAGTGGGATCTGCCCAGCAGAAGAACTTAACCCAGTCTAACCCAACATCAGGCTCATCTGAGCTCCCACAACACCCCGCTCTGGCCATCCTGGCCCACTAAGCAGACAGCAGGGAAGGTGCATAGCTGAGGGTTCACTAAAGGCTGCTGCGTGCTTCCCTTCCTCTCCGCACATCCCTGAAGGCTACAGTCCCTGTTACCCTGCTCTTCACCCAAGCTGTCAGGAGGAAATCACAGAGCACTGCAAGGAGCAAAAGCACACTTTGAACAGCTGGAGCTGGGGCCAAATGCAGACAGCAAGGCAGACATTTCAAGCTAAGGGAACTACCGTGGCCTGAGTGATCCTGTCACCTCCAAAGCTCTTGTGTTGGAAACGCAGTCCTCAATGGCAACAGCATTTGGAGGTGGATCTGAATGGGAAGATGTCATGAATGGATTAATGCTGCTATAAAAAGAGTTTGAACCAGGGGGTTCTTCTCCCTCTCTGCCATGTGAGGACAGAGGGAGAAGGCCTTCACCAGCCTCCAGAACTGTGGAAGTAAATCCTCTTCCTTCCAATTACTCATCCTGTCACCCTGTTATAGCAACACAGGTCAACGAAGACACTGCCCGGACAAACAACTCCAATGGGTAAAGAAGAGGCTGTGTGAGGACAGAAGAGAAAAGCAAGCAGAGAGAAAAATAAAGGAACAAAATACAGATGCTAGAGACCCAAGAGAAATGGAGGGATTTAATGTATGTGTCAGACCAAGGAAAGCTTTGGAGCAAGGAGATGATGCAATATAAACTGCCAAGACTGCAGCACATGGAAAAATGGCTATAAAAACCTAACAGCTTGAGCATGAATCCCAACACTCAGGAGACAGAGGGAGTGGGGCTCTATGAGCTTTTCAGGCCAGCCAGCGCAACATAGTGAGACCATACCTACGGAAGAAAAAAAAAGCTAAAAGAAGTATTATAGAGACCATAGAGAACATGGAGAGATGTATAGGGGACAAAAAGACCCTTGGATCTATAGATTTTAGAAAAGGAAGAATACTGGGAAGGAGGAAGCGAGGAGGACAGAGGACAGATGACACTGTTACAACAGTGACTTGACACCTGGGTTCCCGGGGCAGGAGAGATGCCATGAGGGCTGAGGAAGAGGTGGCTCAGGGAGGAGACACAGGAAGGCAGTTAGGGTTACACACCTATGCCCAGGCAATGGAGAGCGCCATGGCACAGGGCAGTGTGCCAGGGGCAAGTATCTTTGAGGACCAAGATGGAGCTGAGCAGCAGGAGCCAGAGACACTGTGATATGCACACAGATGAGAGCTGTAGGCTACAAGTTGTCAAAAAGCCCCTTGGATGGCTAAACAACCAGATGGCATGGGATCTCGGATAAGACCATGCAGACAGCAGATAGGAAGACATGTCCACAGCTTCCCAGAGGCAGAAAGCTAAGAAGGTTTTAAACATTCCCCGTGCAGCAGAGGAGAGACAGGGCTAGCAGGGTTAAACCAGACCAGGAGGGATTGTTGAAAAGTGAATGGAGTATTTCACAACATGGAAGAGGAAACTGCGATAAAACTGGCTGGCCAGAAGGGGAGCCCATTCCTATGAAAATGTGGAGCTACCAGAGTCAATATTACTACCAAGTATAAAATCATGAGTATTTTAATTTTAGTGTGTATAATAACCACCTTGAGTGAGTCTATTGATAAGGAGGATTACCATACACAGGACAGGGATGTCGTATGTTATGTTATTAGGGAGAAATCACTTACATGAGAAGCAGAGAACTGAGGTCAGTGCTCTGCTGGGCTCCGAGCCCCAGGAGAGAGAGAGAGAGTGACCCCCTCCTTCCTTGACCTTTATCTCTGCTTTCCCCCAAATACCTGTGACCACGCCCAAACAGGCGTGGTCAGTACTGCGGGTACCTGAGATCTCTACCTAGTCTGTGACTCAGAAATTTAGGAACAACTCAGCCATTTTGAAGACACAGACTTGTAATACCAGATAGTAAAGACTGAGACAAGATGACTGCAACTGTAGAAAACCTGAGAATTCTTTGTCAAACTTGAAAAAGTAAAAAGATGACTAGGAATATATCCTATGGCAGGTGCTCGCCTTGTATATATTGGGGAGAAAGGTTCAAGTTCTTCTTAAAGGGGCCTATGTCACAAAGCTTTCCAAAATGATGACGTTTCCCAAAGGTTCTTAAGCACTGTCTTCTAACCTTGTACTTACAAATTAGTAGTATGTACACACTCACCCCAAACAATTTCTTCCTTTCTTCTTATTTTTTTCCAAGACAGGGTCTCACCATAGCTGTTCTGTAACTCACTCTATAGACCAAGTTAGCCTCAAATTCAGATCTGCCTGCTTCTGCCTCCTGTTGGGATTAAAGGTGTGTACCACCATGCCCAATTTCTTCCCTTCCTTCCTTCTTCCCTCCCTCCCTGCCTCCCTGCCTCCCTCCCTGCCTCCCTGCCTCCCTCCCTGCCTCCCTGCCTCCCTCCCTCCCTCCCTCTCTCTCTCTCTCTCTCTCTCTCTCTCTCTCTCTCGTTTTTTTTGAGACAGGGTTTCTCTGTGTAGCTTTGGAGCCTATTCTGGAACTCTCTCTGTAGACCAGTCTGACCTTGAACTTACAGAGATCCGCCTGCCTCTGCCTCCTGAGTGATGGCATTAAAGGCGTGTGACACCACCAACAACCGACTGCAAACCAATTTCTTAATAAGGACATTGGCTCAATATAGTCTTACCAAGTAGTCACTCTCTAACTTCTTCTGTGGGTAATTTTGGTTTTAATTTTGAAGCTCTTCCCAAAGACCTTGAAATTTCTTTGCTACTTAAGTCTACAATGAACTACAATTTGAAATGTACTATATATAGTTTTACAGATTAGATATTTAAGATATCAGCCAAGCACAAATATTCCTTAACAAATACAGAGGGAGAAAACGGATTGGGCCCCCTGCCCCGAAAGATTCTTGCAAGCCCGTTTTATGAGAAAAAGCACTTATCTGATTTGTACTCATCCCTACAGCTTTTCTTCCTCACTGTGGTCTGGGGAGGGAGCCCGGGGCCTCTTAGAGGCTAGGTGAATGCCTACTGCACTGCTCTACCTTAGGCTCACAAGCCCAAACCTATAAACTCTTATTAAAGGACTTCAGAAAAACACAAGGAACTCTTAAATAGAATGCTGTCCAGGCAGATGCTTCAATGCTTCAAGAAATTCTAGCTAGACCCGATCTCACTCTGGTAACCTGCAACTTTACTCCAGTTTGTGTCCCTCTTGCGGCTGTCCTGCTTCCTCGGGTCACATGCGTCTCCTTCAGAACACAAGCCTGACTGGCCCTTGGTCTCTTTACCCAAGGCTTCTTCATCGCCTTCGTCATCACGGTCTCTTGACGGCTGAGTTCTAATGTCTCACTGTGTTGACTCCCTGTTCTTTTGACTTTTTCCTTGTCTATACATCCCAGTCTAGGAGCATGAGTTAGGGGCAAGGGCACTGTGCTGTCTTCTTTACTGTGAGTCTGAATGACTCAAAGTACTATGACACTGGATAGATACTCCAATACATTTTTCACAAATCAGTCATTGCACTGGCTTTAAAGGGTTTATATGTGCACCTCATCTTTTAGCTTGTCACTTATTAAAGTAAGGAGCATTTAATCTTATTCTTCATACATAATGATGGCTATGACCACATTAGGCTAAAGAGAAAGCCGCTGAAAGACAGGTAGCCTAAGTCTGTTTCCTCACTCAATACAGTTAGAGATTTATAATCTGAACTATAGGAGGGGTCAATGGTGTAATTAATTATACCTAATGTTTCTTAGAAAGAAAAAGATTGGACCAGACATGGTGGTGCACAACTTTAATCCCAGCACTTGGCAGGCAGGCAGAGTTCTAGGCCAGGCTGATCTACATCTCTGAGTTCTAGGTCAGTCTGGTCTACAAAGTGAGTTCCAGGGCCAGACAGCCAGGTGTCACATTATTATATCTTATGTAAGAAAATTACATTTTATGAAAGGAAATCAAAATAACAATCATTCCTTAAAATTCTTTTCCATGGGTCTTCCTCAAAATATCACATATGGCTTTGCAAGACATTATCATGTCTCAGTAAGTAAAATTTAACTGAGTATAGCTCCTAGAAG